TGTATTGGACAAGGAAAGCCTGTCTGTTTCTGTAATGCTTTGGGTTTCTGCTGGTTTTGCGGGTCAAGGGAGAGACGGAGCCATTGGTCAGAACGTGTGTGTGCTGCGGGGCTATTTCTTGATGCGACTGCTCCCAGTGGTGGCCCAGGACCCCCGGCCGAGCCAGGGACGCTCCTCATCAGGTGGACGGAGGACTCATTCTCACATGGCGGCCTCTGTCCCTCCCAGGTGTATACTTGGGCTGACTTGGACAAACATTAGAAGCCACAAAGCCTTGACCATCATGACGGTGCAGAGTGTCTCCACCATCCCCAGCAGGTCCCTCCGGCCTCTCCCCTGCCTGTCCCCGAGTCTCCTCCCCTCCTCCCCTGCCTCTCAAGGGTGCCGTGGCCCTGGATCCACGTGTCTGGGCAGCCTTCTGAGCTGGCTGGTGTCACTTTGGGTTATGTCCTCAAGGTCCAGCTGAATTGACAGCAACTTTGTTGGCAGTCCAGATGGCCCCAGGGAAGACGGGGGACCCTGTGGCAGCTGAGCTTGCCCACAGAGGTAGGGAGGCAGGCCCTGCAGCCCCCGCCTGCCTCAGTCTCCCCATTAACTTGGGGGTAACAACTGATAAGTCTTCATGGGGTTGACGGGAGACAATGACCCGTGATCCTGGCTGCAGGTGACAGACACCTGGTTAGAGGGGATCCAGCAAGCCTCTAGAGGAAGATGGCTCTGGGGACACTAATCCAAGTGCTCCATGGCCTCAGGGATCCGGTCAGGTCCTCGGTTGCAAGGTGGCAGCAGCCTCTTCCTGCGTCCCCTCTGGAGGACAGACATGAGGTGGGAGGGGCACGTCCCTGGGTTGCGCTCTCTCTCCTGGGAGCAGCCCCCGACGTGGAGTCCCCCCAGGGTCTCACTGGTCAGGGCTGTGCCCACACCCAGGTCCAACCAGTCTCTGACCAGCCCAAGGGAATCGCCACCCAAGGAGGAAGAGGAAGCAGCCTCTGCGCTGGGCCGCGAAGCCGCCGAGCAGACGTGACGGGGGCTCTCCTGGCAGCGGGCAGCAGAGCGCATCAGGCTGATGGTGAAGGGGGCGCTCTGTGCACAGAGGACCTGGGCAGGAGTCAGGGACACAGGCCGCCACGGGGACCAGCCGGCTACGGTGGCTTGTCCTGCAGCTGAGGCTTGTCTTTGGATGTCCCTCCAAAGAGGAGCACAAAGGGGCAATCTGTGACCTTGGCATGCTGGCCCCCCCACCCCGCCTCGCTTCCCTCCCTCCCTCCCTCCCCCCTCTATCATCCCTCCACCCTCCTTTCTCTCCATCCTTCTTCCAGTAACGAGGGCCGTCTCTCTGGTGGGCCCTCTGCTTGCTCCTTGATGTAGGGTAGGGACCGGGTCCTGTACCTCTGCAGGGACCTGTAGGTCAGGGTGTGGTGTGGCCTCCCTTGGGCTCTGCCTGTAACCAGCACCTGGCCCTGCAGACACCAGCGGCCTCTTAGTTCCTAAGATGGAAGAGTAAGATCTCCCCTCCCTTCAGCCCCGGGAAGATCCTGCCTTCGTCAGTCACTTTGTACCCTCCCTGCTGGGTCTAATTGCGGTTCCCACCGTCGGGTGTGACATCCAGGCAGAACCCGCCTGTGTCTGGGCTCCGTTCCTCAGGTCTGGGGAGATGCTGGGGCCTCTGGAGCAGGGAGAGGAATCCACCACCCTGGCCGGGAGAGGTCAGCGGGTGACTGTGTCCAAGAGCCTGGAGCCTTGGCCTGACTTCCCACTGCTGTCACTGTGACCAGCCGGCCCAGGGCTCCTCCGCTGGTTAGCGACCTTGGCATTTTGTCTTTCCGCAGAGGAACTCTTGAGACTGACAAGGAAACTGCTCTTGCTGTTGCCCAGGTGCCCCTCAGCCCCGAGGAGTCAGCAGGAGCAGGGAAGTGCCCAGGGGCGACCCGGAGAGGCCGGAGGGAGCAGCCGCGTGGAACTAAGTGGGCGTCCCTGTCCGGACAGGTTCGGCCTGTCGAATGCCTGCTCAAAGCCGGGACGACACCGGCAGGAGCCACGGGGGGCTCGGGGATGTGGATTTGGGCTTCTCGTTTTAAGAAGAAAGCCCTGGCCTGGCCACGAAGGACAGGCCGCCACCAGCCCGGGCCTCCTGGGTGCGGGGTTGCCGCCCTTCCTGGAGGACACAGGGAGGCAGCCTGGCAGATTGCTTCAGGACAATGGGCCGTTCCTGTCGGGTGGGGCGCCTCTCGGCCCGAACAATAGGCCTGGCCGGCCCCTCTCCTGCTGCCCACCGCCTGAGACAGATGCCCAGAAGCCCCCAGGAGCGCCCTGGAGGTGACCTTGGGGGCCGCCTTCTCACTTGGTGGAGGGGCCCGGGGGTGGGGGGTGGGAGGTGGACAATGGGGCCTCGTGCCAGGCACGGGCTTGCACAGCCGCTCCCCGGGGGCTGGCAGGTGGTGCTGGGGTCTCGGGCGCGGGGCCTTCCCTGGGGTGCCCGGCCAGGAGGCAGGGCACTGGT